ACAAAAGGAGGAAGGAGGGGTGGGGGAGAGAGGGACAAGAAATGCTCTTAACCTTCATCTCTTTCCCTTTTTCCCTAAACCCAAGTTCAAAATTCCTATCTTGACTTACAAAACCCGTCAGCCTTTTCTCAGATTGCTGAAGGTATTATACTTCCACTGTCCATTCACACCCCGGCCCCCAAGTCTACTGTATTGGCTCAATCTGCTTCAATTCCCTCCAACCCTGCCTGGTTCACTCTCATGTAACCTTGAAGTCTCACCTGAATCAGAGGGTCTCCTGAATCCCAGATCAACCCTCCTCTCTCTGATTTGGACCAAGGCCCCTGTGAGAGAAGGCACCAGATGGGACTATTACAAAAGAAGTCACACTATTAAAAACTCAGGAATGTCTCCGTGCTGACAGGGTGACCAGGAAGGCTACACATAGTCCTAAAACACACACACACACACACACACACACACACTGTCCTGAGGGTGAGTGGGCATATCATTGAGGAGACAGATGTGGCTTTGGAGGGCAGGCAGGCAGGAAGCAAGCTGTGGGAGTGCTTAAGTAAAAGGGAAAATGCACTTGTCAGATCCTCCCTCGCAGACAGCATGGCTGCATTCGATTCTTGCCCGACAGCTGCCTGCCCGGTAGTGCTGAGTATCTATTTTCTTGCTTCTCTTGGCGTTCCAAATTCTGGTGGGGCATTAGCCTGGCACCTGTGGCAGTTAGTTGTATAGGGAGGCCAATAAACGTTTTGCCGTCTTGAGCCTTTCGTGTTGGCCTGAAGTGTTTACATTTATAGGTCTAGATGTAACCCACACATGATTCTTTTCATTGACAACTAATCAGACGTTGACCATTGGATTAGCATGGCTTCACTTTTATGAAAAGATTTAATTCAACGGAAACTTCCGAGACTTTTTAATAAAGCGTTCTGCGCGTGAGTAGGAACTCTGGCTCCTCCTTTGACCTCCTCTGAGAGAATGGCCCCGATGCTTGGCAACCCAGGGTCAAAACCCAGGGCTCCAGCCAAACTTCTGTTCCTTTCACGTTCTCTTTGCTTCTGACCGAGTGAGGGGCAAGCTTGAGCTCCGTCTCCGATTCGGGCGAGGGTGGAGGGTGTACCTATGACTGTCTGCCAGGCTTGCGCAAGGTGGACTCAGGGAGTGCTGTTAGGGTATTGGCAAAGAAGAGTGAACGTTTCCGTGGGTTGCCAGAAGAACAAACAGCTCTGTCTTGGAAGCAGCATGGCCAGCACGTTCCTTGGAAATGAGATGGAGAGATTTCGTCGCGTGTGCTTTGGACGTGTTATCAGGAGGGGCCAATTGATGGAAAAGGACGCGTCGTCGACGAAAGGAAGGCCCTGAGCGAGGTGGATTCACACAGTGGCTGCAACAGTGGATTCGAATGTCGCACGAGGGTGGTGCAGGCCCGGGCGCTGTTCCGTCCTGTTGTACCGAGTCACCGTGAGTCAGAACCACCTTCGTGGCACCGAACCACAGTGGATTAGGAAAGGACGCCTGTTGTCCTGTCAGGCACATGTTGGATTACTCACCGCGACGCTGCCAGTTCTAATGCACCAGCGGCTGCGTAGATTAGGCTCTGCTTCCATAAAGAATTGCAGCCCTGGAAACTGTGAGTTGGAATTGACCCGATGGTAGTGAGCTTGATTTGGGGGGTTAGTATGGATAAGGAAGTAGGGGAAGTGGATCCTCTGTTGGGCTGCTAACTGCAGTGTTGGTGGTTCAAGTGTACCAGCCGCTCCTTGGGAAAAAGATGGGGCTGCCCTCTCCCATCAAGATGGTCTTGGAAAGCCTACGGAGGGTCAGTATGCGTCAGAAACAACTCCATGACTGTGTTATACAGATAAGGGGGTTGTTCCTGGGTAGTGAATAATAAACTGGGTTGTTGGAAGTTTGAGCTCACCCACAAGAAAGGTCTGGTGATCTACTTCTGAAAGCCCACCCGCTGAAAAGCCCACGGAGGACACTGACTCACATGGGGCCATAATGAGTAAGAAGTGACTGGGTCTACATGGGTGAGGAGAGCCCTAGACTGATCGTCCTTCCTCCCCAGATCCTTAGTTAGGGCTCACGTGTCACGGTCAGGCCAGCGAGTTGAGCCACTCTCTCCAGAAGCCCTCAGAGGCTGCAGGTACAGACCCAGGTACTGTCCGCAGACCCAGAATATGCAACAGCTCCCACTGGGGGGCTTGGAAGACTGTCCTACTGGGGCTGGAGAATGGTGGTGAGACAGGAGGGGAACGGAATCGCCTGCTCATTCTGCTGGTGCATGAATCATTAGATCTGGATGCCTGAAACTTGGAGAGGGGAGCTGAGCTGAACCCAGACATGGAGGGGGGGGGTGGTAAGATGCCGGCAGACAGAGGGAGTGACGTGGGAATTGGGAGAGGTCAGTCAGGGAAACATGGCCAACCGCAGCCAGCCTTTGTCCTGGGCATCCCCCCTGGGTCAGAATTCAGGAGACAGACCCCCACCCCACAGGTTCTTGTGTGGGCAGCATGGTATGTGACTGAAGATCCCTGGACTTGGGAAGCTTTGACTAGCATTCAACTTTGAATGGCTTCTTTGAACCTCAGTTTCCTCTTGAGTCTTATTGGCACAGCCTTTGAAGTTCAGCAGATTGTCCCCAATACCTGCATGACTTTACACGAGGCACTTGGTCTGAGTCTGTCACCTCACCTGTGAGACAGGGGCAATAACACCTAAGGGCTTTCTGAGGACCACCCACTGCCATCGGGTCGATTCCAACTCATAATGAACGACCCTACAAGACACAGGAGAACTGCCTCACAGGGTCCCAGGCTGTCAGCTCCCGGTGGGACCATCTTGCCGCCCTTCGGAACAGGGTGGGCTTGAGCCACAGGCCTTGATGTTCCAAGTGGAGCACTTAACTGCTGCATCACCAACTGTGCATTTTGTGAGGATTCAATCTAATGATCTTCAAATACATGGAGTTCGGGGCCCTGTGGCATGAGTTTAAGGGGACTGCTCCCAGACAACTGTGTAATGTTTCTGAGACTTGGTTCCCGAGCTGTCAGAAGGGGTGACATTGCCTTCTTCGCGGGGGTCCTTGCGGGCGCCCACAGAGAAGGCCTGGTGAAAGCGCTTGGGGAAGCTCTGTGTAAGTGCGAGGGCATATTTCTGGTCTTAAGCTCACCCTCTAACAAAGGCTGAATAAGTACCAGAGGAGCCAAAAAAGGAGGGCGAGGGAGGGAATGAGACTCTTAGGGGGAGTAGCAGCAGAACAAAAAAAGGCTGGAATAATGTCCACACTGTGTTTCTAACTTTTCCCATTCAGCCTGTGTTCCAAGGAGCAGCTCACATCCACAGGAGGGAGGTGAGGAATGGGGGGCTGGATGGGAGGGGGCGGGTGACAGGGGAAATGATGGAGAGGGAAAAGGAGCCTACTGTGGTCCAACCTCAGGAAGGCATGGAAGACCCTTGTCTGCTGGGGGAAAAGAGAGGGAGTCTCTTAAGTCCCAGCCCCCTCTGTGTCTCCCTCCGTGACCCCAACTCCCTCGTGATTCAGAAAGCACAGCTCCCAGGTTGGAGCCAAGAAATGCTGCCTCCCAGGGCTCCCCACCTGGCAGCTACGGAGGAGGTTAAGCTCAAGGTTAGATTCTCGAGGATAAAGACAGAAGCTCCATAGTGTGTCCCCCGAGGGAGGGCAGCTGGCCTCTCCCCAGCCTTCACCAGTCTGCAGAGTCCCTCAAACCAGTCTCCCTGCCCTCCTCCCTCTGCCTCTCCTTTGATCAGCGGGAATCAGGACATGGATGCCTGGGCCAGGGCCCTGCTGGTCCTGGGCTCTACCATGGGGCTGGCTTACGGAGTTCCCTTCCCTTGGGAGCTCAGCCCATAGGAAGTGCCAGGGAAAAGTTTCCACAGATTAGTGCCCCCAGGGGTGAGACAAGGGCAGCAGCAGGTGACAGGAACAGGCCGGGGGGCGGGAGCAGAGCCCAGGGAGCCCTTGGGAACTGCCCAAGGACAGAGCCTCTCTTCTCTTGACGCTGACTTCCAGATCAGGGGCATTTGGGGTTCCTCAGAGTCCCCCTGCTTCAGTCTTACCCCTTAGTGGCCTGTTGGTGCTGCAGAGACCCTTTTATTTGGCAATGACGGTAACATCCCAGTGTGATTAATTCCTGCCCCAGAAGTAGAACACAAGCAGACCAGGGTATGAAGGAGGCCCTTGCCTAAGTGTGACGTGGAGAATTTGTAGGCAAGCCCAGACTCCACGGGTTGCTAAGACATCCTGGAGGCACTGTAGGTTAGGCGTTGGGCGGCTAGCCCAAGGTCGGTGGGTCTAACCTTCTGTGAGTCAGAACGGACTCATGCCGTGGGTTGGTTTGGTTCTGGATTGGTTCTGGTTTTAGTGCAAGAAAAAGGCTTAGAGCATCTTAAATGATTAAAAAAAAACTTGCACGGGCAGCAAGAGAAATGTGGTTGTAGGGAAGAATTTGCTGCGAGCAGATAGGTTGGTTCAGTCAAAGTGAGGGAAAATTTACATACCACTAAAGGGCACGGGCAAGTCTGGGTTGTTGAGTGGCCCATAAGTGGGATGTTCTAACCTGGGGACTGCTTTGTCAGGTGGGAGGAGGGATGCAGGGACGGGAAAGGAAGGAGGAAGAAACAACTAAGGAATCCGGAAAAAAAAAAAAGGAAAATCGTTTTTCTTTTAAATCAAATCAAACCAGACCCATTGCCACGATTCTAACTCATGAAGACCCCGTGTGTCAGACAAAGTAGAACTGTGCCAGAGGCGCTTCCTTGGCTGAAATCCCTATGGAAGTGGATGGCCAGATCTTTCTGAGGTGGTACCACCGGTGGCTTCAGAAAACCCACAAGCTAGTCCTTGTTTGTGCCACCCAGGGGTCTTAGGAGAGGGGAAGACTGGGAAGGAAGTTCAAGGATGGAGAAATAGATTAGCCCTACAGGAGGCAGGCCCAGCAAGAGAGAGTGCTTTCAAACGGAACACGTCTCATCAGGCAAAATCGAGTTGAAAATGTTTTCAAAATCTGAATTTGGTAAATTAGGCCAGGAAGGCAGGATGCGGGCATAATCAGCATTAGCCGGCCCAGCCAGCCAGGTGTGAGGCGGGAGAGTCAGTGCGGGTCAGGCGGTACCAGGAGATGGGAGAAGACAGAGTCTTGCAGGCCAGTGCTTACTCCTTGGCTGTGGTATTGGGTGAGTCCAGGAATCGGCAAGGCAAGTGGGCGATGCACTAGGATGTGGTCTGGGCCAGACGTTTCATCAAGGTTGGCTGACTTCACAGTTCGTGCACATGAGGAACCAGCACTTGCGCCGCCGTGTCTGAGTTCTGGATCAGCTCAAAGAGGAATTTCACCTGCGTCTCAAAGGATTGGACGGAGATTTTCTCGTTGAATCCGTGAATGCTAAAGGAATGAGAAATGATGCGTTTCAGTGGGGAGAGGATCACGTCAATTAATATAGGACAGTGTTATTAAAGAGTACCCCCTGATCCCTTCTCCCCAAACCATGCATGCCCCAATGTCCCAGGCCTCTGACCCATCAAGAGTAGGAAGCAGGCAGGTGGGAGAGGCCATTTGTAGGGCACGTTCGTTGTCCCCCAAGGATCACAGGTGTGGCAAAGAATAATGGGTAGATGGTGAATAGACTCCGAGGGAGTTCGCCATCATCTCCTGCACTAGAACCCATTGGATGATTTCTCCTCGGGGAGATCTATCATGCAAATGTTCTATCTCTTAGACCAGGGACCTCAGCTGAAATTCTCTCCCTGCCAGCCACCCATCCTCTCAGCCTACGAGAGGCAGGAGCCGGTAGAGAGGGTAACTGCCCCAAGCACAAGTCTGATTCTCTGCTTGCCTTAGGAATGTCACTGTCAGACCTCATGCCTACCAGATGGCCTCCCCACAGCCCAACGAGACGGGCTCAATAGCCCACAACCAGACGAAGCGTGAGAGCTGTTCATCTTCAAGTATTTCATTCTGTTGGCAACTGATTCATGGAGGGTGGGCCTGGGGTGGGG